CAGGCACCCCATGACATTAGTATATTCTTGATGAATGCCATGTCCCAGCTTGGTTGTTAGCCAGCCCTTGACAGTGTCTTTTTCCTTACATGCTCACCCTTCGGGTTAACTTCAAAGCTGTGCATGCCTGTAAACAGGTTTTGTTTTGTTTATTACCTGTTACAAGCAATAGATTTGGCTTTTGTTGTGCAAACTTCCTTACCTCTTTTTGTTTTATCCGTAGTAGTAAATATATTTTTCAAGACTTCCAGGATTGTGACTATATATCTTGTAATTAAAGTGTTAAAATATTTTGTTTTACAATTCTTCTAATTTTGCTGCTCCATGGCATTTAAAAATGGGTAGTGATTTATTCCTATGTGATTTTTGTTTTAAGTTTATTTATTTATTTTGAGAGAGAGAGAGAGAGCACAGAAGGGGCAGAGAGAGAGGGAGGGAGTTAGAATCCCAAGCAGGCTCCGCACTATCAGCACGGAGCCAGATGCAGGGCTCCAACTCATGAACTGGGAGATCATGACATAAGCTGAAGTTGGCTGTCTAACCGATGGAGCCGCCCAGGTGACCCTATTCCCACGTGATTTTAAACTTGTGACTTGTCTGAGTGCTTTGAAAGTGAGAGAGAAAAAAATAAGGTTCCATTTAGTTCTCTTTGCCTTCTCCCATGAATCGTTGTATTAAAATGTTATTTGTGGGGCGCCTGGGTGGCGCAGTCGGTTAAGCGTCCGACTTCAGCCAGGTCACGATCTCGCGGTCTGTGGGTTCAAGCCCCGCGTCGGGCTCTGGGCTGATGGCTCGGAGCCTGGAGCCTGTTTCAGATTCTGTGTCTCCCTCTCTCTCTGCCCCTCCCCCGTTCATGCTCTGTCTCTCTCTGTCCCAAAAATAAATAAAAAAAAAAAAACGTTGAAAAAAAATAAAATGTTATTTGTGTTCAATTTTAGTCCACGTTAAATGTAGATTTTTAATGATATGAGAGTATGTGTCATTTAACTAAATGGCCACCCTCATTTTAGATTCCCTGTGTGTGGAGTATGAAACCCATGGACAGCCTGTGCCATTCCGTATTTGTTTTGTACTACGCTGTGTTACCTGGTTTACAGTTCACGATTACCCTTCAATTGTTAAAGTGACTTGAGCTTGCTTTACTTTTGAATGTTACCTTTTCTGTTCTTGGTATGGCTACTTTGTAAATATTTCCTTGTTAGTATAGTGATGTCTTAAAGATATTTTCTGTTTTAAAACATTTGCCATGCCTCGTCATGTTTAAACGTCTTTGTGGTAGTATTGAAGCATCTTTGTCAAACACAACAATTTAAAACTCCTATCATCTTGTTCTATAGCATTGAGCAATGTTATCTTACAATTTGTAGCTTTTTTTTTTTTTTTCTGATTAACTCTCAGTTCTAATCTTGTGTACGTTTATTGTTTCCTTTGGTGTGTATGTATTTTCACTCTCTTTGATATTTATAGTATGTCTCATTGAAATTCAGGATTGATACTAGGAAAAAGAAAACCACATTTGCAGAAAGAGCTAGTTAGGCAAGCAGGCAGTCACTTATAGAGGAGTTTCTGAGCACTGTGGAGAGTAATTCTAACCCTGAAGAAAATTTCTGACTCATTTATAGAGCTCCTGACACCTCTTCCACAGAGTGAACCAGCTTGTGAGCAAATGCATAGTATTCAGACTCTGATGAATGTCCCTTTGTCCAATTCTTTAGCTTTTTTTGTACCTTCCTTAAATAATAATAGTTTAAAAAAATATTTTGTGCATTCCAGCAGACATTTTGTGTCTTACGGTTGTTAATAAAGGAGAAAAATATTTTTTGTAATAGACCAGGACATGAATTTGGCAATCTCTGATTAAAAGAGAAGTAGCCTAGTTTTTTGTATTCGTTATTTTTGCCCAGATGATCTGAGGTTTAATTAAATTATTTTCTTTCTATGAACTCTTCCCTTTTCCACTTTTGTATTGACTTTCCCACTGTTGTGTTTCTAATGCACTCCCTGAGTCACTGGAGAAAGCTTTGAGGGATGTAGAATGTTATTCGCATCACTGTCAGCTGTCTTGGAGTTTCCCTGCCTCCAGCTTTTGGGATTTATTATCAGGCCTTTCAAAGGAATTCTGCCCTTCCCTCACAGTCCCAAACTATTCATCTTTTCTCCAAGGGAGTCTGTTGTATTACTAATTAAGATGTTGAGGTGACTTTATTAAGACAGGATTAATTTATGAAAGATTTATGTAAAAATATAATAGAGGCCAAGTATTTTATTTCAAGGACAATTTGAAGCCAGTTAATGCCCAGTAACGGTTTCATTCTTTTGTGAGGGCTCTGGTGACTTCTAGATAGTTCTATTGGCACCTCTCTATCCAGTTTCAGGGAATAAGAATGGAAGATCCCTGGAGGCTCATGTACTGTAGCAGAGGTGGAGGAAGGAGCCCCTTTTCGGTGAAGGTGTTTCTTTCTTTGAAGCTGTTAAGTCCAAGATCTATTAGCACACATGAAGATGGTAAGCCCTTGCAACTTTCAGTATATCCATGTACCAATTTATATAGTCTCTAATGGAAAGATATTTTAGAAGCAATATGTATACATTTATATGTAAGCTTGTGCCTAAAGTAGTTGTGGAGGGGAGACCATTAATTATTCTTTGTCTTCTGAAAAAAATTGTCTTCTGGAATTAAAAAGTGAAAAAAATGTGCCCTTCGTTTTCATGAAGGAAACCAGTGCTGCATAATCCATGCTTTATCAATATTTATTATGTTTTAAAAGATACTTAATAATGATGGCTTATACATCCTATTTTAAAGACCATTTATTTTATTTGTTATTACTAGATTTGGAGGATTTTGAAATTTTTTTCAATTTAAATGTTGAATTAAAAATGTAACCTTTTATAAATACATGGCCAAAAAAGTTCTGTTAATTTTAAAGTTTGGACAGAAATGATATTACTCTGAAGTGTACTTAGGCTTAATTCTTTTTGGCTTATTTAGAGGATTGGGTCATTTAAAAAAACTGCAAATAAATAAGTGGATTTTAATTTGGTAATCAGGAAGACACAAAGACTATACAAGTTTGTTGTATTTGAGTTTGTTTTTTGATGATACGTTGTAAAAATTCTCCCAGTGCAATATTTGTCGGAATATATTATTCTAGTCATCATTTGTATAGCTTTGTTTTTAAGTATATTAAATGTAAAATCAGAAAAACATGTAATATTTGTGGTGATTTTTCTGGGGAAAAAGGTAAACTTGGCAGTGTTGAAAGAATGGATTCTTTGCAAAACACTATTTTATAGAGTCATAGAGTCTTAGGGTCTTAGAGATCATGTACCAATGAGGGAATTCCTTTTCCAGCATTCCTTTTCCAGCATTCCAGCAGTATCCAGCCCCTGCTTCCAGTGATAGCATTGAAGTGGAAATCCCAGTGGTTTGCAGAGTGGTTTATTGGGCAAGTTGAGGGATTCATCAGATAACTTCCTTTGGAAGAAGTTATTCAATGATGTCAGCAATATCAGAAGAGGTCTTCTCCCTAGGTTAAGACTCCCTGGAGGAGGTAGCAGTTGAGAAAAGGTGTAATTTGGGATTTTAGAATTCCATAGCTGGACCTAACCTTGTAGATCTCTTACTTGTTAAAACTGTGGCCCATAAAATGTGACCTTCACTTAGCTAGTTGGTATCACCGTGGGCACCCTGCTCACCTCCCAGTTCTGTGCTCTTTTCACTATGCATGCTGTTCTGCAGGTGAGTGAGAATGTAAATATCTACTTAGTTACTGACAGTACCACTAAGTCTTACATTCACACCCTGCCTGATCCTGTAATTCTTACAACAGCCCTGCAGGGAAGATTTTACTATCTCACTTTTAGGGACGAGGAAACCGAGGTAACTTGCCCACTGTCACACAATCAGTGATGATGCAGCTGGCAGTTGAGTGCAGGTCGGCCTGTGATTTTCTATAGATTACATACATTACTTTTAGTGATGTGAGGGAAAAACTAGGTAGGATCAGTGAGACTACTGGAATGCAAGATGCTGGGCATCTTACTATAGCACTGCTACTTGTGTTCTGAACTTTGTAGTTAAAACCGATTTAAAAACTGGTATGGAGGTGGTAAAACTTAGTGATCACTGAATGAACAGGTTTTGCTGGACAAAGTCAGAAGCCACTTTTTGGTTAGTAAGGGGATGGGAAATTAAGGGCTGCCTTCAGATGTTGGATATAAATTTGGCTTTCAGTTTAAGAAACTTAAGCTTTTTTTTTTTTTTTTTTTTTTTAAGTAATGTAAGTTTATTTTATGGATGGTAAGGGCAGTCACCCTGTGGCAACCTACCCACACTCTGGCACTGCGTTAGTGAACTTCCACCACACGGAGGGGGCGCCCAGCTTCACTTTACAAAGTGAACCTGGGCTCCTGAGGTGGCTCAGTCCGTGAAGCCTGGGACTTCAGCTCAGGTCATGGTCTCATGGTCGGTGGGTTCCAGTCCCCTGCAAGGGGCTCTGCACTGACAGCTCGGCGCCTGGAGCCTGCTTCAGAATCTGTGTCTCCCTATCTCTCTGCCCCTCCCCGTTTGTGTTTTTTCTCTCTCTTTCTCAAAAGCAAATAAACATTAAAAAAAAAAAAAAAAAAAACAAAAAAAAACAGAAACAAAACAAAGTGAACCAGAGGCTGACCTGAAGCCCCCGCCGTAAGACACCTCCCCGCCCAAGGCGGTAACCTCTGCCGCCCAAGGCTGGGTTCCCCCGGCTCTCCTGCGCCATGGCGGGGCTGTAGCCGGGCACATCGCTCCTTACAAGTGTTCAACGTAAAGAGAGCAGCCAGCCAGACCCACTTCGCAGACAAGCGGAAGGGACTCATAGACTTAGGAGGTGCGGGCTCGCCTTTACTTAAGCCCTTGCGCGGGCTTGCGGGCTCGCGGGCTCCCCGGGGGCGGGCGGCGGGCTGCAGTCCCGCCCACTCAGTGTCTCTGTTGCTGAGGGCGGGTTGAGTTACGTAGGGGAAGCTTCTGCAGACAGCTTAGGAGGCGGACCGGGGCTCCGGCCGGTCCTTTGAGCAAGTGGGCGCAGCCAAATCGCGCGTGGCAGTGGACATGGCTCACGGGTCGGAAGGCCGTGTGTCGTGGGGCTGCAAGCTGCCTCTCCTGCTCCTTCATGTGTCTCTGCCTCTACTTCTGTTCCTGTGGCATTCACCGCCCAGCGCAAGTAGGCCCGCTGCGCCCGGAGGGGGGGGGGGGGCTGGGGGTGTGAGGTAGGCGGGGGGGGGGGGGGGGGGGGGGGACGGCGGGGGGGGATGCGTAGGCAGGATGGGGTGCTGGCCGCACGGCAGCCCCCTCACCGGTCCGCGACAGCAGGAGTCCCGTCCGGTCCCGTCCCGTCCGAGATCGGCAGCGGCTCCGGGCTCTAACGAGCTCCGGGAGCTCTCCTCCTAAGTTTCGAGTTCGTTTACTCATTCATTACTGTACTGTCGGCTACTGTGTGCAGAGTCGGCCCTTGTAGAAACCTGGGGAGGGGGGCCTCCTTTGATTCTATGCTCTGAATGCTCTGTGAATTTCAGAGCCGCTTGCATCATTTTGCTACAGCTGAGAAGGCAAAGGGGGAGGAAGTGACAAAAAAACACTCCACTTTCTTATCCCACGTGTTGTCCGGGAGCCATCTTCACGTTGCTGAAGTCTGCAGAGAGTGAGGGGAACGTTTTAACCTCGTGGTGATACTCAAACCTTCTCTTTTACTTTTTTTTGGGGGGGGGGGGAGGGACACTGATGGATGTTTCTGTCTAATTATCGAACAGGACACCAGAAGGCTGAAAGGCATATGAAGAGATGTTTAAACTAATTACTAATCATAGAATAGAAGTTAACACAGTAAAATATCACTTGACGCTTACTAGACTGGCCAGAGTAGGCCAGGCTGTGCCAAGTGGTGGTGGGTGGATGGTTAGGGATGTGGGAATTTCGGAGACCATCTGAGTGTCTGTCCATCCTTGGGGCTGTACATGAGCCAAATGTGGATTTGCATATAGAGAACTTGTCAACAACTTCAACCAATGGACTAGCCGTACACATAGCAGTGAGAGGATCTTGAAACAGTGCCAGAAGCAGAAACAGTAACATGTAACTCCATAGCATTTTCATAAGTTTGAGAAACAAAACAAGGCAGTTTTAAAGAGAACAAAAATGTAAGCATTAAACATCTTAGAACGGGTGCCTGTTGTGGGAGGGAGATGGAAATAAAAAATAATAAATAGTATTTCTATATACTTGCAATGAGCAATCCAAAAATAAAATTAAGAGAAAAGTTCTACTTATGAATCCATCAGAAAGAATAAAATACTTAGGAATAAGTTTAACAAAAGGAGCACAAAACTTTTACTCTGAAAACTTATGTTTTTTTAGTTTTATAATTCATTTAATGGCAACTGGCATTGCAAATGGCAAATCATCAAATTATCAATTGTTATCTTTAAAAGTGATTACACTAGCTTTGCTATCATTTCTCAAGGATACCTAGACTTACAGATATTTCCCACATAAGATGCATCATATGAATCACCAGCATTGATAAAACCAGATCCAGGGAAAGAACTAAGTTTGGGGAGACATGCATGATCTTAATATAGCAAATGTTTAGTCTGTCTTGATTATTTACAAAATGAGAACAGCAGGAATATTTGCTGTTGAAAAATTTTAAAGAAGATCTAAAGTGAAATGGAAAAATTATCCCATCCTAAGTTTTTTTAGGCCGCCTAACAAATACCTTAGACTAAGTGGCTTAAACAACAGAGATTTATTTCTCACAGTTCTGGAGGCTGGGAAGTCCACCATCTAGGTGCTGACTGAATTGGGTCCTGGTGAGGGACCTCTTCCTGACTTGTAGAGGAATACCTTCTTACTTTATCCCCTGGTGCTGAGAAAGAGATCTCTCTGCCTGTCTCTTATTAGGACACTAATCCCATTTACAAGGGCTTCACCTTTGTGACCTAATCACCTCCCAAAGGCCCCACCTCCAAGTACCATCACACTGGGGGTTAGGCTTCAATTGTGTGAAATTTGGAGGGACACAAACATTCATTCCATAGTACATCCCCAAAACACATTTATGGATTGGAAGACAACCTTATTAAGATGGTAGTACTCCCCAAATTGCTACACATTCAGTGCAATTCATGTTAGAATCTCGGCTGAGTTCTTTGTAGAAATTGATAAACTGATTCTAAAATTCCTCTGAAATTGCAAGGGACATAGAATATTGAAAACAATCTTGAAAAAGAAGAACAAAGTTGAACACTCTTACGTGGGTTAATTCAGGGCCGTGAACTAAGAGCGTCTGTACCTGAAACACCCCCTTCCCCTCACAAAAAAAAGGGATTTGTTTCCATTTATGTGGTAGTGTTTGAGAGTATCAGGCCTATGTTTTTTTCCAACAGTCTCCCATAACTGAATTCTCTTATTGCCACAGGTTTCTTGCAAGTGAAGATGGCAGGGACAACTCAGACTGTGCTGCTGAATGACAATGCCACTATTTTCTGCCAAGTCTATGGTGACCCCTCCCCAAACATAACCATTATGGGTGTCACCTGGTTTTGGAAGAATCCAGAGTCTGCAACAGAAGTTAAGCTATTTGAGTTTTTTGGAGGCCAACAAATGACAGGTCGACCTGGAGCCATGGTGCCTCTTAAGAGTTTGGAGAGTGGGAATGCCTCACTGCAGCTGCCAGGGATCCAGCTGAGGGAAGCAGGAGAGTACCGATGTGAGGTGGTGATCACCCCTCACAAAGCAGTGGGACAAGTCAAGCTGGAGGTTGTGGGTGAGTTCCCTGGGGGCAGGGCCCTGTGGTTTCCGTGGTACTGAGTCTTGGGGTAGAGTTGTGACTGGGCCAGATGGAGCAGAGGTTTAGAACATGCCTATGAGTCAGACAGATGGGTTTGACAGCCGAACAGTGTTGGGCAAGTTACTAATCACATAGAACCTCTATTAATCACATAGAACCACTTTCTGAACAAATGTAATAGTACCTGCCTAGGAGGTTTATTGTGGGGAAGAGTCTATGAAAAAATTCAGGTAACATGCTTAGTATAATGTATGGCCCACTGTAAGTGCTCAGTGAAAGACAGCTATATAAGTTATGATATAATTTACTTAGTGTATGGATGGTGAGTGTTTACTGCAGAGGTGTCTCTGAAAGGTAGCCGGGAAAGGAGTGAGATGCTGGGTTCCATAGATCTGAATCCTGTTTTATTATTTTTTTTTAACGTTTATTTATTTTTGAGACAGAGAGAGACAGAGCATGAACGGGGGAGGGTCAGAGAGAGGGAGAGAGAATCCGAAACAGGCTCCAGGCTCTGAGCTGTCAACACAGAGCCCGATGTGGGGCTTGAACTCACGGACCGCGAGATCATGACCTGAGCCGAAGTCGGCCGCTCAACCGACTGAGCCACCCAGGCGCCCCTGAATCCTGTTTTAGCTTTGCTGCTTCCAAACTGGGTGATTGGGCCAGCCACTTAACATTTTTGGACCTGAATTTTCCCCTGCACAAAATGGGGTGATAAATCACACCTGTCTCATGATGTTCTGAGAATTACATAACATAATGCATGAACATGCCCAGCTGGGTGCTGGTGTGAGGTAGGTGCCCAGTGAAGACTTGCAGCAACAGCCACACTGTCCACCAAACACCTCTTTGAGCTCTCCTCTGTTATGATTGGTCTGATCATATGTAGATGAGCTTTGGGGGGTGTATTTGTTTGCTGGGGTTTGCCGTAACAAAATACCACTGACAGGTGGCTTAAATGACAGAAATTTATTTTCTCACAACCCTGGAGTCTAGCAGTCTGAAATGAAGGTATCCGTGGGGTTGTTTTTTTCTGAGGGCTTTTTGCTTGGCTTGTAAATGGCCATCTTCTCCCTGTGTCTTCAGTATTCTTCTCTCTGTGCATGTGTGTCCTACTCTTTCCTTCTTGCAAGTGCATTGGTCATATTAGTCTAGGGCCCAACCTAATGATCTCATTGTAACTGAGTTACCTAGATAAAGACCCTATTTCCAAATATAGTCACAGTCCGAGGCACTGGGGTTAGGACTTCAGCGTATGAATTTTGAGAGGCCACAATTCAGCCTATAAAAGGGGGACAGTGTCTATGAGCCTTCCCAAAATTGTACTAAGACTTTTAATATTTTGTACATATTAGTTTGGGGGATGAGAATGTTAAGTTAGGATTCATTTCCTCTGCAACTGACAGAAAGCTTAAAATAAAAGCATTTAAAAAATTAATAGGTTTTATTTGTTAGAATAGCTTTAGATTGACAGAAAAATTGCAAAGATAGTACAGAGTTTTCATATCACTCCCATCTCTGCACACCACTTTCCCTATTATTAACATCTTGCATTAGTATGGTATATTTGTTACAAATAATGAGCCAATATTGATAATTATTATTATTATTTTTTTCAACTTTTTTTTTTAATTTATTTTTTATTTTTTTATTTTTTTTGGGACAGAGAGAGACAGAGCATGAACGGGGGAGGGGCAGAGAGAGAGGGAGACACAGAATCAGAAACAGGCTCCAGGCTCCGAGCCATCAGCCCAGAGCCTGACGCGGGGCTCGAACTCACGGACCGCGAGATCGTGACCTGGCTGAAGTCGGACGCTTAACCGACTGCGCCACCCAGGCGCCCCGATAATTATTATTATTAATTAAAGTCCATAGTTTATTCAGATTTCCTTAACTTTTAATCTGATGTCTTTTTTTCTGTTCCAGGATCCCATCCAAAATACCACAATACATTTAGTTGTTATGTGTCCTTAGGCTCCTCTTTACTGTCACAGTTTCTCAGTTTCACAGACTTTTCCTTGTTTTGGCAACCTTGATATTCAGAGGAGTAATGGTCAGGTATATCATAGGATGCCGCTCTATTGGCATTTCCCTGCTATTTTTCTCATAATTCACTGGAGTTATGGTTTTGGGGGAGGAAGATCACAGAGGTAAAGCGCGATTTTCATCCCATCCCATTTTTTTGAATGATTTATGACTCTTGGTGTTGACCTTAATCATCTCGCTTTAGTATTTGTCTGGTTTTTCCCCTATAAATATACTCTCCTCTCCTCTTTGTCATCTTATAGTCTTTGAAAGGAAGTCACTCTAGGCAGCGCACATTTAAGCTGTGGTAAATTATGCTCCCCCTCCTTTAGAGTGGAGTAGTTACATAATTTATTTGGGATTCTTCTGCACAAGAGATTTCTCTCTTCTCCCTCACTTATTAATCTAAATTTATTGATGTCAGTTTGGACTCAGGATATTTATTTTGTACCTTAGGTTATAATTTCATACAACTTTATTTTATTGCTCAAATTGTTCCTGCTTTGGCCATTGGGATCATTTTCAGTTGACTCTTGTGTCTCTTTGACATACTCTCATCATTGTGGGGTTTTGTTCTGATCTAAGCACTTCCTTACTTTCTGGCACTAGAAGATGCTCCAGGATCATCTTGTGTATTTCTTGTCCCATTCCTAGAATCAGCCAATTATTCAAGGAATTCTCTCTGGTTCTTTCGATTGGAAAATATGTTAGAAACCAAAATGCGGGCACTAGATGTGCTTGTCCCCACTGGGATATCATTGCTTCTGGGCCCTCTGAACTGACAGAGCAAATAAATATGTGTATGTATACTAATCTGTGTATATACAAAAATCTGTAAGAATTTCTATTTTTAACCTCTGTGTCTATATTTATTTTAATATAGTAGTTCTTAATGATGTCCCTAACTTTAATCTATTACCCTATGAATCATTCTAGCCTCCTTCTTTTGCATATTTGTGAAACCCACTCCAGCAGTAAGAAACCTGGCTCCCATCGTCCTCTCGTCTATTTACTTAATTGTTTAATTCTAGTATACGTCTACAGCCATATCAGAATTGTTAACTTGTACCCCCATGAGAAACAACATTATCACCCAGGGTATAGTACTTGCAATTCATCTTGCCTTTGTTCTTGTAGACTCCATTTATTTCAGAAGTTCCATAGGTCAGCACCTTTCTTCTGTCCCTTGCAGCGAGGCTCTTTCGTACATTTGTAGTACACTTAGATTTGTTGTTACAGTGTACCTTCTCTCTTTTGGGGGATTCCTTGAACTTTTAAATGGTTTATTTAAAATTTGCATACGTTAAGATTCACTCTGTGTGTTTCTAGTTCTGTGAGTTTGACACATATGTTGCAGTATCACAGAATAGTTTTCACTGCCTCTGCTTCACCTATTTGCCCCTCCCCCTGGGCCTCTTACACCACTAATCTTTTTACTGTCCCCATAGTTTTGCCTTTTCTACAATATTATATAATTGAATTGGAATGATCAGTATGAAGCCTTTTCAGATGGGCTTCCTTCACATAGCAATATACATTCAAGATTCCTCCATGTCTTTTTTTGTTGTTGTTTGTTATTTTGGTGGCCTGATAGCTCATTTATTTTTATCACTGAATAATATTCCATTGTATGGATGTGCCATAGTTTGTTTATCCATTCACCTATTGAAAAATATCTTGATTGTTTCCAGTTTTGGGCAATTAGGAATAAAGCTGCCATAAACAATCAGGTGCAGGTTTTTGTGTAGACATAATTTTTCATCTCAATTGGGTTAATACCCAAGAGTGTGATTGCTGGATCATATGTTAAGACGATGTTTAAACTTGTAAGAAACTGCCAGTTCTTCCAGAGTGACTGTATCATTTTGCATTTCTACCAGTCATGAATGAGAGTTCCTGTTGTTCTATATCCTCATCAACATTTGGTATCGTTAATTTTTTGTATTTTAGCTATTCTAGTAAGTATGTAGTGATATCTCTTCTGTTGTTTTAATTTGTAATTCCCTAATGACATGTGATGTTGAGGATCTTTCTATTTGCTTTTTTGTCCTCTGCATATCTTCTTTTGAAAGATACTTGTTTAGATCTTTTGACCATTTTTCAGTTGGGTCCTTTGTGTCCCAGTTGTTGAGTTTTAAGAATCCTCTGTTATGTTATTTATTTATTTTTTGAGTCATCTGTATATTTTAGATACAAATCCTTTATCAGATATGTGTTTTGCAAATATTTTCTCCCAGTCTATGGCCTGTTTTTTCATTTTCTTAACTGTGTTTTGCAGAGCAGAAGTTCTAAATTTCAGTAAAGTCCAACTTACTGATTTTTTGCTTTCATGGATTATGCTTTCGGCATTGTATCTAAAAGCATATCACCAAACTCAAGGCCGCCTAGAGTTTCTTTTATGTTATCTTTCTAGACATTTTATAGTTTTATGTTTAGGTCTATGATACATTTTGAGTTAATTTTTGTGAAAAGTATAAAATGCGTGTCTAGATTCCATGTGCAGACTTTGTGCATATGATGTCCAGTTGTTCCAGCCTATTTGTTGAAGATTATCTTTTCTCCATTGAATTACTTCTGTTCCTTTGTCAAAGATGAGTTAAATACATTTGTGTGGGTCTTTTTCTGGGCTCTCTATTCTGTTCTGTTGGTCTATTTGTCTGTTCTTTCACCAATACCATGTTCTATAGATTATTGTAGTTTTACAGTAAGTCTTTAAGTAAGATTGTGTTAGTCATCAAATTTTGTTGTTCCTTTTCAGTATTGTGTTAGCTATTCTGGACCTTTTGCCTATCCTTATAAACTTGAGAGTCAGTTTGTCAGAATCCACAAAGTACTTTCTGGGCTTTTGATTACATTGAATCTATAGATCAAGGTGGGAAGAATTGACACCTTAACAATATTGATTCTTCTTTTCCATGAACACAGAATATCCTTTCATTTATTTAGATTTT